CAGCCTTTCCGTGCAAACCCTGGGAACACGAGGCCAAGCTCCAGGCCTGGACGTGTCACTGATGCTAGGGTCCCTGGGTTGTGACTGGATGGCCGTATGTGGACACCTTTTTCACACAGCGTGGGGGAATGGCAGGAGACGGGGGCTCTGAGAGGCAGTCTTGGAAGCTGCCCCGGGCACAGACCTGACTTGCTGACTCCGGCCACCTAGAAACATGAGCAGTGGGGAGGCCTTGTCCCTGCCCCGCTGCTCCTGCCAGCCCTGCAGAGCCAGCCTTGGGTGGGCGCCACTGTGGTGAGGATGCAGACCGTGCAGCCGGGGTGAGCGGTCGGCTCTCTGGACAAGCACAGCGCGGTGAGATGGGGTGATGGCTCCTCTCCCATGGCCCCAGTCTACTTGGAAGTGTATTCAACAGGGGGCTCCGCATGATCCTGACCTGCGGGCAGCCTGGCTGGAGAGGAACCCACTGCCTCCGGAAGCCTGTGACCCCAGGCCACCTGGAAACCTTGTGAGGGCAATGTTTTTATTATGGCCAAGTTCTTCCTTTTCCTCTGCAACTTTGTCTAAAACACATACAAAAGGGAAATTGTCCAAAAAGAGTTCTAATATGCTTGACTCCGAGTTCTCCCTCGGAGAACTTGAATGGTGGCTTAAGGAGGAGAGAAGAGGCTGCGTTCTGGCACCTTCCAGCATCTCCCCTCCAGGCGGGAGAAGGAGTAGGGGCTTCCACCAGACCCTTCCCCAGAGGGCTGGGGAAACAAGAACTGGGGCTGGGGACTTCGGCCCTCAGGGAGGAGCAAGGGTGACCATGGCAAATACCAAACCAAGGGGGTCTTGGGATAGGCACAGACCAGTACTGTCCTGGGCTAACCAAGGCGTGCAGTAAGCTGTCTTTATAATATTTGAATTTAGCAGGCAAACTACTAGAAATGGTTTAAAGTAATAATTAAAATTTCCGATTGCCTTGGACAAACAGCTATGGGTTGAATGAAAAGGTATTAATGTTGGAAGCAGCCATTTTTAAGAGAAAAAGCTGGAGAGAGAGAGAGAGTGTGCGCGTGTGTGGCCAGGTGGGTGAGGGCTTGGCGTGTCAGAGCCGGGCGTCAGGTCCCCGCAGGCCCTCTGTGAACCTCGAGGTTCCAGGGCAGCCGCCCTCCCACTCTGAGCCTCATCTTCCCCAGGTGTCAGACGGAGCCGACGAATCCCAAATCTTTGCCCTGTCCACCCCAGGCAGCTCGCGCGGGGCCGTTGTGAGGGATGCGGTATGTGAGACAGGCGAGGAGCTTGCTGAAGGGCTGGGCAGATGTGGACTCCACTTAGTCCAAGCCTGAAAGCCTGCCCAAGGAGGTGGTGGTCTTCTTTGGAGGGTAGGACCCTGGTGCCCCTGCTCTGCCCCGCCTGTGCCTGAGCCAAGCCATTTGCGGCTGCTCTGTCGACCTGGTCAGGGGCTTGGGCCAGCTGCTGGGAGTATCAGGACGCTGCTGTGGACATTGGGTGAGAGGGCCTGGAGGTTCCACCTGCATGCCGTGAGCCAGGTGTTAGTGGGGCAGTGCCTGGCACACACTTGGCCTCTGTGTCGTTGTGTCAGTGAGCTAAACCCAAGTTGGCCAGAGGCCACGTCGGACACCTGAGGAGCACGGACGCTGATCTGTGCCGGGCCCTCTGCCTGCCTCTGGGAGCCGGCGGGCCACAGCCTCCCTAGGACGTGGCTGTAGGGGGAAGGTGGGCGTTGGGGACACAGAGTGGTATCCCTGTCCCGACCCGGCTGTGTAGAAAGGGGAAAAGAGGCTCAGCTCATCGGGCTGGGGTGAAGACCAGAAGAAACGCCAGTGCCATGTTGCTGAGCTCACGTGTGAGCCACAGGGCGGGCATTCCCAGCAAGGGGGAACTCTCCGTACTCGTGTGGCCGGGAAGGTGAAAAGTTTGCAGTTCTTCATGGCCAGGTGAAAGAACAGACCAGGCGCGTGGTCCTCTGAGAGCCCCAGTTCTCTTCCGGTCTCCCTCCTGCCTTGTTTCTCTTAGGTGTCCCTGCACTAACCTGCAGTGTCCTGTGGGGGTGTTAAGTGGAAGTTGCTACATTAGGGGGTGTGCTAAGGATTCATAATTAGTCACATGTCCCTATAAAATGTGCTCTCCTTGTTGTCACCATGAGGTCTGAAAATCCACAAAGTGTGGGAGACATCAAGGATAAATGGAATCAAGTGTGTGGATGCGAAGGCAGGCGGTAGGGGTGGGATGGGGGAGTGGGCCCGGCCCTGCCCTGCCCTGCCCTCTGGCTGGAGGACTTCTGACATGCTACTCTTTGAGCCTCTGTTTCCCCATCAGTAAAATGGGGATAACGATCACTGCCCTGAAGAGCTGTCTTGAAGCACAGGTTGGATAGTATGTGAATGCCCAGCTCAATCTCTGGAGCCTGATGGCTGCTTAGTGATGCTGGTTTCCTTTTGTTTCCACTGGGATGCAGCTTCAGGCTTGGAGATGAAGAGCTTACTTAGGGCACAAGATCTGATCGGTTGGGAGCCATGTGACGAGATTAGTATGTGGGTGGAAAGGGCCCTGGAACCCTGGGGGTATTCTCATTACACAACCTGTGTCCACAGTCTCCGCTGTTGGCACGCCCGGCTCGCCGGTGCTCGTGTTATTGGTCCGTCTGGTGCTCAGCCTATCACAGCACAGGCAGGAACTAGGCTCATTATAATATTGCCATCTATTTTTAGCCCAGGGGTCTCCTGGTGGGGATGGACCCCCAGAAGGGCTGCCAGTTCACTGGTGGCAACAGACAGCTGCACATGTCTGGGCAGGCACATCCAGGCCTGTCGCTGAGCAGCTTCTTCAGCTGTCCCTGAACCTGTTCTTGTCTGAGACTCCAGGAGGCTTTTCCCAGCCTGTTTCTGTTGCCCTTCTGTAGTCTCGGGACTGCAGGTCCTTTAATAGCGTGCCCTGCCAGCCCTGGCTGAGGAGCACACCAAAGAACCTTGGGAACAGGCTGACCTCTCCAATGGGTCAGGTAGAAGCAGTGCCACCTGAGAAGTACCTCCCTCCTCAGAGGTGAAGTGGCCCCAGTAAATGGTTTACAGAGAGCTGCTCCTCAGTCTAGGGTCAACTCTGAACCAGGCCAAAGCTCTTCTATCTGATGAGTTACACAGAAGGTGCCAGCATGTCTTTACCACACACCGTCATTGTGCTGGGCGGCAGACCCACCACAAGCAGCGCTCAGGAGTGAGGCCTGGCGTTCTTGCTCCCAGCAAGGCTGTGGCAGGGCGCAGGCAGGCAGTTGCCTCCTGGGCTGGGCATCATATCTTCTGGCCGGGGTTTATTCGTTGAGATCCTACTGTGTGTTAGATGCTAACGTGAAATACCTCATTTAATCAACACAGTGATCCTGTAAGATTCCATCGCCATTCCTGATTTACAGAGACAAGTGAGGTTCAGAGACATTCCATGACGTGCCCAGAGTCATGGAGGGTGGATCCCAAGTTGTGCAACGTTCACTGTACCACGTTGCAGCAAAGTCTACTAGATCAGAGTTGTTGATCCTAAAAGCTATTCAGTGTGAATAGCTCACATGGGGCACCCCTTACATGGGGCACCAAGAAGCCTTTTCGAAGCCATTTGACTTCCTCTGGCAGAGACTTTTGTGGTGGTGTTATCAGTGGAAGGTTCTTGGTGTCTGGAACAAAAAAAATGGACAAAATGCACAAAAAAAAAACAAGGAAAGAATGAAGCATCAAAAACAGACATTTATTTTATTTTTTGAGACGAAGTCTCACTCTGTCACCCAGGCTGGAGTGCAGTGGCGCCATCTCAGCTCACTGCAAGCTCCACTTCCCGGGTTCGCGCCATTCTCCTGCCTCAGCCTCCCGAGTAGCTGGGACTACAGGCACCCGTCACCATGCCCAGCTAATTTTTTGTATTTTTAGTAGAGACGGAGTTTCACCATGTTAGCCAGAATGGTCTTGATCTCCTGACTCGTGATCCACCTGCCTCGGCCTCCCAAAGTGCTGTGATTACAGGCGTGAGCCACTGCGCCCGGTCTAGAGATTTATTGAAAAAAAAAAGTACACTCCACAGGGTGGGAGCAGGCCCAAGCATAGGGGATCAAGAGCCTGGTTGCAGAATTTTCTGGAGTTTAAATACCATCTAGAGGTTTCCCATTGGTTACTTGGTGTACACCCTATGTAAATGAAGTAGGGGTCCACAGTTTGGTTGCAGGAGGGGACCACCATCTAGAGGTTTCCCATTGGTTACTTGGTGTACACCCTATGTAAATGAAGTAGGGGCCCACAGTTTGATTGGTTGCAGGAGGGGACCAGAGGCCAAAGTGAAGAAGTGAAGTTACAAAGTTACACCCTATGTAAACATCTGATTGGTTGCAGAAAGCAATCAGAAAGCAACCAGCCAGAGACTAAAGTGAAGTTACAAAGTTATACTGCTATGCAAATGAAAACTTAGCCTGTGACCAGCCTGACTGGTTGCAGGAGGATACTCTCAGTTTTTCATCTGCCAGGCAGATAAAGGTTGGGGGGTGGGGGAGTGAGGGGGCAGTGGGTAGGAGGGGCAGGGATGCAAAGGGAGTAGCTACTTGGGAGCGGAAAACTGAGGTTTTTCTTTTGATTTAGCTCTAGGAAGTCAGCGTGAATCAGCCTTATGTTCCCTGCCTCAGTGGGGGCTCTGATGGGCCATATTCTGCCTCAGTGGGGGCTCTGATGTGCCAACCAGGGTGCCCTGAATGAAGTGGCTGGCCTGACTGTGGCCCTTCTTCATGGATGGCTGTTCCTGGGAGTTCCAGCTCCTCACTAGACACTCATGAGTCTGCCAGTATGAGAGGTCCCTGGGACTAATCACCTGCCAGGTGTTCCCACACTTAGGGTCTCAGGGTCTGGGCCTCCGGCACCCAATCCCTGCTGTTTTGGCCTGGCTGATGCCCTTGCGGTTTGAGTGGAACACGGAGCCCTGGGAAGCTGGCCTCACTTACCTTGTCCACGCTGTTTCTTTCCCAGGGCAGCGAAGTCACAGGCCCCACCTTTGCTGATGGCGAGCTCATCCCCAGGGAGCCCGGTTTTTTTCCCGAGGACGAGGAGGAGGCTATGACGCTGGCGCCACCTGAGGGCCCCCAGGAGTTGGACACGGACAGCCCCATGGAGAGCCCTCAGAGCCTGGAGGGGTCTGTCGGGAGTCCTGCCGAGAAGGACGGGGGACTCGGGGGCCTGTTTCTGCCAGAGGACAAGTAAGTTAAAACCGCCTGAAGCTCAGTATTTGACCTCTCAGCCCAGAAATGTGGTTTTTGGAAAGTGTCTCCAGGAAGTAAATGTGAAACATGCTCAAAATTTGTATCAGAGGCATTAGCTGAATAGCAAAAGATTCTAAACATACTAAATGCTTAACAGGAAGGGATAGTTTTGGAATTTTAGGCAGCCGTGCAAAGTCAAGTTTTTAAATTTAATTTTACTTTATTTTCAGTGCTAGTCCTGCAGACAAAGTCAAGTTGTAAATGACTGTTAATGATATGAGATACATGATCTCAATTAGTTTTAAGAAAGGTTGTGGCCAGGCATGGTGGCTCACACCTATCACCCCAGGACTTTGGGAGACTGAGGCAGGAGGATCACTTGAGTGCAGGAGTTTAAGGTTACAGTGAGCTATGATCACATCAGTGCACTCCAGCCTGGCAACAGAGCAAGACCCTGTCTCAAAAACAAAAACAAAAACAACAAAAAAGCAGGTTACAAAGATGTCCATGAGATCAGCTTTGTTAAAAACACAAACATATGCCAGGCAAGTGGCATGTGCCTGTAGTCCCAGATACTTGGGAGGCTAAGGCAGGAGGATCGCTGAAGCCCAGGAGTTCTGGGCTCTAGTGCACTATCCTGATCGGATGTCTGCACTAAGTTCAGCATCAGTATGGTGACCTCCCGGGAGTGGGGCACCACCAGGTTGCCTAAGGAGGGATGAACTGGCCCAGGTCAGAAATAGAGCAGGTCAAAACTTGAGTGCTGATCAGTAGTGGTATCACACCAGTGAGTAGTCACTGCACTCCAGCCTGGGCAACTTAGCAAGACCCCATCTCTTAAAACAAAAAAACAAAACATAGACATATGTGTTAGGAAATGCCTAGAAAAAAATTAATCTGGAAAATTAAGCAGTTATTTATGTATGGTGGGATGATTTTTTTTTTTTTTTTTTTTGAAACAGACTCTTACTCTGTCACCCAGGCTCATTGCAGTGCTATGATCTCAGCTCACTGCAAGCTCCGCCTCCCAGGTTCAAGCGATTATCCTGCCTCAGCCTCTCCAGTAGCTGGGAGTACAGGCGCCCGCCACCATGCCTGGCTAATTTTTTGTATTTTTAGTAGAGATGGGGTTTCACCATGTTGGCCAGGATGGTCTCGATCTCCTGACCTTGTGATCCACCTGCCTCAGCCTCCCAAAGTGCTGGGATTACAGGCGCGAGCCACCGCGCCCGGCCAATTGATCATTTTAATTACCTCCCATCTATTCTGCTATATTTTCTATATTGAGCATGTATTCCCATAATCAGAAATGTTATTTAAAAACAACATTAAGACTTAAGTGACTTCCCAGTGAAGCAGTTTCATCTTTAACTTTGGTTTCGGCAGGAAGGAGTCCCTTCCATCTCAGCCCTCACCAGGTCTCTTGAGGGATACAGCGCTGTGGGGTGGTAGGAAGCTGCCACCATTGTGCCTGAGGAAGCCGAGGGGATTGCAGGTGGCAACCCCTTACCAGAAGGTGATGGTTACGGCTGCTGCAGGGACTTGGAGAGGGAAGAGAGGGGTTCCCGTGTTGGTTGAACCACACGAAATTGACAACTTTTAATCATTTCCATCTTCAAAAAAAAAAAAAGGTAATTTCATGAGGTTCAACCTAATACATCTCAATGCAGGATTTCTCAAACTCAAGTGGTTCTCAGAGTCCCCATGTTCTTGGTGGGGTCCTTTGGGGCTGTGGATGGAGAGAGGGGCCGTGCTGCTTTCTGAGAGCAGCCTTGTAATCCCAGCACTTTGGGAGGCTGAGGCGGGCAGATCACCAGAGGCCAGGAATTTGAGACCAGCCTGGCCAACATGGCAAAAACCCCATCTCTACTAAAAATACAAAATGAGCTGTGTGTGGTGGCAGGAGGAGGCTACTCCCAGCTACTCAGGAGGCTGAGGCAGGTGAGTGACTAGAACCTGGAAGGCAGAGGTTGCACCACTGCACTCCAGCCAGGCAACAAAGCGAGATTCTGTCTCCAAAAAAAAAAAAAAAGAAGACAAACGTACAAAAAACAACACAGTGTAACAACTATTTCCATAGCATTTACATTGTATTAGGTATTATAAGTAATCTAGAGATGATTTTGAGTACACAGGAGGATATGCATAGGTTGTATGTGAATACTATGCCATTTCATATCTGGGACTTGAGCATCCTCAGATTTTGGTGTCCACAGCGGGTCCTGGAACAAATCTCTTTTGGATACCAAGGGACAATCATACTCAGTCTTACAGTATCTAAAATTTTAGATCCATTATATTCATTTTCTATATTACTCTCAATGTTTGGGTTTTTTTTTTTTTCTCCATAAAGTGAAAGCAAGTTTATTAAGGAAATAAAGGAATAAAAGAATGGCTGCTACATAGGGAGAGCAGCTACTCTGAATTTTTTTTTTCTTTTTTTTTTTTTTTGAGATGAAGTCTCACTCTGTCGCCCAGGCTGGAGTGCAGTGGCGTGCTCTCAGCTCACTGCAAGCTCTGCCTCCCGGGTTCACGCCATTCTCCTGCCTCAGCCTCCTGAGTAGCTGTGACTACAGGTGCCCGCCACGACGCCCGGCTAATTTTTTTGTATTTTTAGTAGAGGTGGGGTTTCACCATGTTAGCCAGGATGGTCTTGATCTCCTGACCTTGTGATCCACCCGCTTCGGCCTCCCAAAGTGCTGGGATTTCAGGCATGAGCCACCGCGCCCGGCCACTACTCCAAATGTTTTAACCTTTCAACAACTGTTTGATGTTCTGCAATTTAATAATTTACTCCCATTATAATTTAATAATTATAATTTGGTCTAGCTGTAGCTAGACAGTTAGGTTGTAAGCAGTGTTTTGCTCCTCTGGGGTAGCATGGGTAGAACTGGTTTGAACTGCAGAGATGGTTTCTGTGGTGAGATGTTTCCCTTTAGATAGGATCCCTGAAATGTACTTACCAGGTCAAGAAGTACAAACTTAATCGGTAGGCTGGGCGCGGTGGCTCACGCCTGTAATCCCAGCACTTGGGAGGCTAAGGCAGGTGGATCACGAGGTCAGGAGATCGAGACCATCCTGGCTAATACAGTGAAACCCCGTCTCTACTAAAAATACAAAAAATTAGCCAGGCGTGGTGGCAGGCGCCTGTCGTCCCAGCTACTTAGGAGGCTGAGGCAGGAGAATGGCATGAACCCGGGTGGCGGAGCTTGCAGTGAGTCGAGATCGCGCCACTCCACTCCAGCTTGGGTGACAGAGCAAGACGCCATCTCCAAAAAAAAAAAAAAAAAAAAATAATTGGTAGTGCCAATTAAAGGGAAATGCCTACTCGGTTTCCCTACCGCAGGCTGTGGCTGCGGACCCATGAGTCCTCCTCTGACTTGGGTGCTTTTGGATCCTCAGGTCCCTGGTTCACACTCCATCCATGACGACCTCAGACCTTTCTACACACTCCACCACCTCACTTATCAGCAATGAGGAGCAGTTTGAAGACTACGGGGAGGGTGACGACGTGGACTGCGCCCCCAGCAGCCCTTGCCCCGATGATGAGACCAGGACCAACGTCTACTCGGACCTGGGGTCTTCAGTGTCTTCCAGGTGGCCCCTTGGTCGGGGATGTCATTTGGGGTCAAAAGTTGCAGAACCAATCTGAGCACATCCTAGGGGGTCGGGGCGGGGGTCGAGTCCTGAGCTGGCCCCTTTTCCTTTGTCCTAAGCTACATGAGTTCTGCTCCTGGGGCTTGGGGTTGCTACCTTTGCACCCTGATTAGGGGTCAGAAGTTCCTCCTGAATTAACTGACCTAGGAGGCTGCACACTGGGGGCCGTGGGGCTCTGTGTCGTCTTGTGTCCTAGAGCCTCAGTGTTGAAGGGTCCTTCCAAGTGACCCTCTGTGATCCCTTCTCACCCACCTGAGTCACCACTTTCTCTGAAATGAGCTTGCAGTTTGCCTTAGCTGTTAAATGGGTATGCATCACTGGCTTCTCTTTGAGCGTGTTGGAGAAGGGATGATCTGTTGCTATACTTCCACTCCCTGCCCCTCTCCCTAACAAGGTTCAAAGGTACTGGGGACTCAAGTAAAGTCAGCTCAGCAGGGTGGCGTAGGGCACCAGACTGGACAGCAATTAAGGTGGTGATTCCTTTCCCTCGTGAACCAGCGCGGGGCAGACGCCTAGGAAAATGCGGCACGTGTACAACAGTGAATTGCTAGATGTTTACTGCTCTCAATGCTGCAAGAAAATCAACCTGCTCAATGACTTGGAAGCCCGACTGAAAAACCTGAAGGCCAACAGGTGAGGCCCGGGCCCAGCCCGGGAGCGGGAGGCCAGGGGGCCAGAGCAGGGCCTGGAGGGAGAAGCTATAGGCATGGCGACCCCTGCTCTCTGGGCAGGTGAGAGTTCTCAGAGGAGGGTTGATCCAGGGGTTTTTGCTGCCACAGGAAATCAGGCTGTTTCTTCTCAGGACCAAGCTGACTAGTGAATTCCTTTGAGTGGGAGGGAAGGGCCTTGTCCTGCACTTTTGTGTCTTACAGCTGGGACAGAGTAAGGGAGTGGACTAAAGCCCCTGTGTTCAATGACTGTTTCCTCTCTCTCTAGCCCCAACCGAAAGATCTCCAGTACAGCCTTTGGACGGTAAGGCCCGCCTCAGGGGAGGGCAAATTGAGTGCTGTCCCCATGCTGCCCACTGGCCGGGGCTCCCTGCCAGCAGCCCAGACTCAGCTGGTGCCCGCATGTGGCTGAGAGAGCAGAGGGGAATGAGGCCATCCCAGGGCAGTGCAGCCAGGGCAGCGTCCACTTCTGAAAAACAGGGGCCAGCTCCTCCCTGCCCTCTCCCCACCCCTTGTCCCTTCTTCAAATCCTAGGTCACCTTGACTTCAGGCAAGCACGCCAGGGATGCCCTGAGAGAGACAGAGCACCCCACAGCATTCAGTGCCCTTCCCCCCTCTTGGAGCTGGCAGCCATACTCAATAAAGAGACCCCGGGTTTCCTGCAGGCGGGGATCTGAACATGAGTGTGTGCCATCAGGGCTGGTCACTTTGCTCTGATTAAGTCCTGCAGCAGCTCAGTGTGGCCCCAGGTCCACACTCGGGGCTTTGGGAGCTGGCAGCAAGGGCTCAGGAGCTAGGTGGGTTGGCCTCTTGGCAGAGACCCTGGCTGCTGCCTGTCAGGGAGCTGGAAGGGGATGTCACTGGGGGTGGCAGCTGGATTTTGCCTCAGGCACGGGTTAGCTCACCAGGCCCAGTCCCACCCCAGCTCACTGCTCTGCAAGGCCTGGTGAATTCTCTGCCTTTGCCATCCCCCAGAGTTCCCAGAGATGTAGCAGGAGCCAGCTTGGTGGAGAGGCTCAAGCCTCAGGAGGCCCAGACCCTCTGCCAGGGCCATGGAGCTGGGCTACCTCCTCGGGGGCTTCCCCACTGGAAGAGGAGCGGGCTCACGTGCCAGCTCAGGTCACTGGGTAGCTGCAGGTCAGCCTGTTGGCGTGAAGAGGGCTCTGAGGCCGCAGGAGAAGCTGTGCCTCTTTGGCTGTGTCTGCCAGGGAACCCCGGGGGTCTGTACAGCCCATTTGCCATCCTCTGGGCTGGATGATCTGCTGGGATTGGCAACACTCTCCGTCTCAGGCTGAGTGAGGGCGGCCTCCTTAAAGGGGCAGATCCCCTGGGGTACTGGATGCTCGCCTAGCCAGTAGCCTGAGTTGGCCCCTGTCTCTGGAAGGCCCCTGCAGCCAGACGCCCTCTCCCCACCCCTGCAGGCAGCTCATGCACAGCAGCAACTTCAGCAGCAGCAACGGCAGCACCGAAGACCTGTTCCGGGACAGCATTGACTCCTGTGACAATGACATCACAGAGAAGGTGGGCCCCGGGTGGCTGGAGAAGGGACTGAATGCGTGCCTGCTCCCAGGGGAGGTGGGGTGTGCTCAGGCTACTGTCTGGGGACTTGGGAGACCCTGTGCCTGCCCAGGAATTGGGGATAGGTGGCCCTGGTGTGTTCCCCGCCCCTCACCCCACACATGACTGTTCTCGGATACATGGTGGTTTGGAGGTCCTGCTCGTGAACCTCACGGCATCGAGGTTCTCGGTTCTGTGGCCTCGGGGGTCTTCTCCACCCAACCCCTGCCCCCTGCTGCAGGTAAGCTTCCTGGAAAAGAAGGTGACAGAGCTGGAGAATGACAGCCTGACCAATGGGGACCTGAAGAGCAAGCTGAAGCAAGAGAACACGCAGCTGGTGCACAGGTCAGGGAGGCAGGGCGCTGGGGGCTTGGCTGTGACTCTGGGGAACAAAGGGGGGTCCTTCTTGCTGAGACCTCCGGGAGGAGGCAGCCTCATGCCTTTGCAGCTCTGAGGGTCTGTGATGCATCAGCCTCTTGTCACGTGGCCCTGCCCACATGTGGTGCCCAGGACAGGACCTTAGGGACAGGGAGACAGGTTGGAGCTCGACCTTGGCTCTAGGCCAGATGGATTCCACCCCTGAGGTCTGCAGCCACAGGGCTGGTCCAAGATGGGAGTGGGGATCCACTGTCTCTCATACAGTGACAGGAGCCTGATGTCCCTTCCTAGGGACAAGCTCTGCAGGGGACAGGCCAGTGTGAGCTGGGCGGTGGGAAGGGTCCAGCACTGCTGCTGCTGGAGGTCCCCCGAGCCTGCCGTTCCTGATGCTGTCTGCAGTGGTGAATGCAGGGTTTAGTTGTCCTCACCGATGGCATGACCCTTGGGGGACATACCCTGGCCAGGGGTCCGGTCCTCTAACTTGTCACAGGGCCCATCTTGGGCCCTTCTGTACACCCCAGAAGGTCAGCCTGGTGGAGGGGCTGTTGCCAGTGAGACGTACCCCAGACCAGAATACCAACCAGGCTGTCACTGGGGTGCTCACGTCTACGTGCCCCTGGCCCTGTCCCAGGTCTGGGGCAGACTTCAGGCCACTGGCCGGGATGTGCCTATTTTGGGAGTCAAGATGCCCAATAAGCTGAATTATTAATCAGAGGGGTGGCCGGGACGGATTAGTACAAAAAGTAGAGGTGAGGCCTGAGTGTTTCCAGCCAGGTGTGGCTGCAGGGACTGGGGGGGGTGATCCCTCCCTGTGCTGCCCTGAGCGCCCCACCTTCTGACTGCCAGGCCTGTTCCTTCATGGCATGCGTGACCAGCACCCCCTCTAGATATGTGGTGTCCCTGTTCATCTCTCCGAAAGCTACTGGCCCACACACCCTCGGTGGGCATGCCAGTGACTCAGGGTCTTAGGGCCCAGGGTTCCCGGTGCCACAGCCTGGGTTGGGGTGAAATAGTGCAGGCCCCAAGAGCTTGCCCCTTGCGCTGTCCTCAGGGTGCATGAGCTGGAGGAGATGGTGAAGGATCAGGAGACCACAGCCGAGCAGGCACTGGAGGAGGAGGTGCGGCGCCACCGTGAGGCCTACAGCAAGCTGGAGAGGGAGAAGGCCACCGAGGTGGAGCTGCTCAATGCCAGGTGGGCCCCTCCACCGAGCCCCTCCCTCAGAGGGATCCCCTGCCCTGGGGCAGCCCTGTGGGATAGGCGCTACCCCATTTTATAGATGGGAAGCTGAGGCTGAGGGGCAGCTTCTTGAGCCTTCCCAGTAGTAACAGTTCCACTTTCATACCACGAGAAACACAGAGGCATATGCTCTTCAGAAAGTTCGCTAAAGAATGTTCCCAGGAGCGTGGCTCACATTTGGTGATGCGAACTACACATATGTCAACGAGAAAAGGGCCTGGGCTGGGTCTAATGTCCAGGCCTAGAGCGCCCCCTGCTGTCAGATTCTCCCCTGACCCCTGAGGGACTGAGCCAGAGCCCCAGGGCCAAGGTAAATGGAAAACCCGGCTCCTGTTCCTTGCGTGTACCTGTGGCTTCACCATTGGAATGTGAGGCAGGCAGGACGAGGAGCAGCCTGGGGCCAGGGATCTGGGTTGGTCTCCCGTTAGCTCCGTGGCCTTGGACGTATTGGGTCACCTCCCTGTGTGCCCCACAGAGCGGCTGTGTGGGTGGGTGAGCTGATATAAGTGCAGACCCTTCCCATAGGTGAGGGCTACGATGATGCCTCTGTGATGAAGCCCCTTTGCGGCCCTTATCCGAGGCCGAGGAGGCCGCCTGGGCTTCTGGCAGAGAGGACAACTGCCCCGGCACTCCTCAGGCCCCCTGAGGCCCCAGTCTCCATGCTGAGGCTTCCCAGAGTTGCCAAGCCCCACGTGGTGGCTGGTGGGCTGCTGAGCAAATGACTGGGAGTTGGGCTCTCAGGCAGGTACCTCCCTGCCCCTGTGTCCCTGCCCCTGTGCAGTTTGGTGAGGAGACTTCCCAACTCCCCGGTATCTGAGACCTGCTTTGCTAAGTTACCCACCAGGGGTTCATTTTACATTTTGACTCTTCTAGAAGCTGCTGTTTTGCATCTGTTTCTGGAGGCTGGTGCTTGGTTAAGGGTGACTGCTCTCGCTCAGCCCGCCTCTGGCAGCTGGCCCAAGAGAGGTGGCTGGGACACGGGAGTTGGTAAAAGACAGTGTGAACCTGGGCCACAGGACAAAGCGCAGAAAGCCAGCCCTTGGGAACTATCTCCTAACATGTGCCCCTCGCACAGCTCCAGGGGCGCCATTCATGTAAAATATCCGAGTGGTGTTCCCAGAGTCCTGCCCTATGCTTGGTTCCCTACCACTTCCACCAACTCGGGGCCACTTGCGGGTGGTGGGGCTGAATTCCTCTCTGGAGCCCAGAGGGCAGTGGAGGCCCAGAAGCCATCCTTCCAGGAAAGAGGATGTGATGGGGAGGTGGTAGGTTGAGAACAAGATGGTCTGCAGGAATCGGTGCCAGAAGTGACCCTGCTCGGTTCTGGTGCCACCGACGGCCCAACTCACCTGCACCTGTTCTCGGACCATTTAAAAGCGACCTGAGACTGGGCACAGTGGCTCACGCCTGTAATCCCAACACTTTGGGAGGCCGAGGCAGGTGGATCATGAGGTCAGGAGATTGAGACCATCCTGGCCAACATGGTGAAACCCTATCTCTACTAAAAATACAAAAATTAGCCAGGCATGGTGGTGCGTGCCTATAGTCCCAGCTGCTCAGGAGGCTAAGGCAGGAGAATTGCTTCAACCTGGGAGGCAGAGGTTGCTGAGAGCTGAGATCACGCCACTGAGACTCCGTCTCAAAACAAACAAACAAACAAAAAACCGACCTGAACACCCAGGCTCTGTCTTCTTGTGGAATCCCTTTAGGATTCCCTTTGTGGAATTCCTGTGTGAATGCTAACACAGAGGATTATTACTGTCAGAGCCCATACCTGTCGTCATCAGAGGCAGGTGCAGTGAGCGCTCAGAGAAGAGCCCTGGATGAGATGGTGTTGGCGGGGAATGAAAAGCCAATATGATCACTGCCTTCCAGTTACAGAGTCTAACAGGAGGGCCCAGTCGCAGAAGCCACAAGAGGACTGTTTCTCCATCTAGCAGAGAAACAGCCCCATGTTGTTTGAGGATCTGAAGGATGCATACAAACAGAATCTGCATTCCTACTCTCTAATGAATGTTTCCACTTATTGAAAAAATAAAGGCCACGTGTGGTGGCTCACTCTTGTAATCCCAACACTTTGGGAGGCCAAGGTGGGCAGATCACGTGAGGCCAGGAGTTTGAGACCAGCCTGGCCAACATGGCAAAACCCATCTCTACTAAAAATACAAAAATTAGCTAGGCATGGTGGTGCACGCTTGTAATCCCAGCTATTCAGGAGGCTGAGGCACGAGAATCGCTTGAGGCAGGAAGGCAGAGGTTGCTGTGAGCTGAGATTGTGCCACCTCACTCCAGCCTGGGTGACACAGTAGGACTCTGTCTCAAAAAAAAAAAGAAAGAAAGGAAAATAAGAACGATAATAATTTAGTATCCTTACTATTTTGCTTTGGCTGATAGGAAGCTCACGGCTAAATTGTCTTTGACATAATAATCATATTCTTTCTCTCAGTTGGTTTCTGGTATCTTCCCTCTTGGAGGAAGCAGAGAATCACTGCAGACTGGCAGGCCCTTATCAGATAGTCTCCATTCCAGGTTTCTGAGATTTGTCTTTCTCCTTTCCCCAGGGTGCAGCAGTTGGAGGAAGAAAACACAGAGCTTAGAACAACAGTGACTCGGCTCAAGTCTCAAACAGAGAAACTGGACGAGGTGAGTAGCAGATCCAGGCTTAGGGCCAAACTCCCAGAGGGGCCGGGCTGGCCATCGGGGGCCTTTAGTTTATTGTTTCTGAAATTCTAAACAAATGCCCTAAGAAATGCAAAAAAAGTTAATAACAACTTGTGTTTCTGTATTTCTGATTTTCCAAGTTTCTTACAGCGAATGTATTTATTACTTTATACAGTGGAGAAGAATTACAGTGTTAGAAAGAGGTTAGCTTCTGTTTGGGCTAATACCTTCAATTCAGGTTGCATCTAGCATTGTTGAAGGACTTCAGAGGCCTGAGGTTTTTAGTTGTGTTTCTAGAATCATCAGGGCTCTGGCCGTTTCTGTAAGCCAAGACTCAGGGCTCTGTCTGAGGGAGCTGGTTTCACTGTGCATCTGCCTCGTGAAGATGTCTGACCAGACCCCAGGGATACCCCTGGACATAGTGAGCCCCTCTCTGGAAACTCTCCTTCCCTGACCGGGTCTCCCTGCTCCAGGAGCGGCAGCGCATGTCCGACCGTCTGGAGGACACCAGCCTGCGGCTCAAAGATGAGATGGACCTGTACAAGCGCATGATGGACAAGCTGCGGCAGAACCGCCTCGAGTTCCAGAAGGAGCGGGAGGCGACGCAGGAGGTGGGTCCCAGGCCGGCAGGCACCAGGGCTCCTTCCAGCGTCCCTGCTCCTGCCAACCTGCCTCTCTCCCTCGCAGCTCATCGAGGACTTGCGGAAGGAGCTGGAGCACCTGCAGATGTACAAGCTGGACTGCGAGCGGCCAGGAAGGGGACGTAGTGCCTCCTCTGGCCTAGGCGAGTTCAATGCCAGGGCCCGCGAGGTGGAGCTCGAGCACGAGGTCAAGCGGCTCAAGCAGGTGGTTCTAGCAGTTTCTGTGTCCAGTGGGGCGGGGTGGCTGGGTCCACCGCCTGGGTTTCCTATGCAGGATCTGTGACAGGGGAGCCCAGAGCTGTAGCAGCACTGCCTGTCTGCTTCTCAGCAACCTGTTTGTCAGGGCTGGCTGTCCCATTTCACAGTCAGGAAAATCGATCCGCAGATCTCCCCCTTATATCCATATAAAGAAATAGACACTGCTGTCTGCCTTGGTGCTCAGGGTGGAGGATGAGACTATACCCAGCTGCAGTATAGTGCCCGCTGGCATTGGGTTCTCCCACAAGTAGACCCTGAGGCCAAGATTCCTTTTTTTTTTTTTTTTTTTTTAAAGAGACAAGGTCTTGCTCTGATACCAGGCTGGAGTGCTTTGGCACAGTCATTGCTCACTGCAACCTTGAATTCCTGGGCTCAGGTGATATTCCTGCCTCAGTCTCCCACATAGCTAGGACTACAGGCACCCACCACCATGCCCAGCTAGTGTTGTTTTTGTTTTTTGAGGCAGGGTCTCACTGTGTTGCCCAGGCTGGAGGGCAGTAGTGTGATCACAGCTCACTGCGGCCTCAAATTCCTGGGCTCAAGCAGTTCTCCTGCCTCAGCCTCTCGAGCAGTTAGGACTACAGGAGAGCGCCACCACACCTGGCTAATTTATTTATTTATGTATTTGTAGAGATGGGGTCTCCCTATATTGCCGAGGCTTGAACTCCTGGGCTCAAGGGATCCTCCCGCCCTTAGCCTTTGAAAGTGTTGGGATTACAGGAATGAGCCACTGTGCCTAGCCAGAAGATTGCAGTTCAAGGAGCGCTGCCTTAGCTAAAGACCGTTGGGTGGGGGAGTGGATCAGGAGGAGGCAGTGGCCAGGTGGTGCTGGTTGAAGTGTCAACTCTGCCTGACCCTGCAGGTGGAAGAGCCTGCAGCATAAATTATCCTTCTGAGTTTGTTCCACTGGGGACAAAGGGGCTGGTGGCTGTGCTCTCATGGAAGTCCTAAAACCCCAGCCCTTCTCCTAGTCTAGGGATGGGGCGCCCAGGGTCCCAGGTGTGAGCATTAGGGCTCTTTAGGCAAAAGCTGGCACGTGAGACTGGTGCATGGGATCTGGGTGGGTCTGCCTGGGACAACTCCAGCCAAGCAGGGTTCAGAGCATGGCTGCCGGGGAGCCAAGGAAATGAGCTGGCCAGCCTGCCCAGAGAGCCCAGGGCATCACTTCCTTCGGCAAGGGCCAGTGTTGGAGGCCAGGCTACTGGGTGGGTGGTGTCCCTACACAGGGCCCAGGGAGGAAGGGATGGCCAGGAGCCTTGGCTGCTCTGAGCAGGGCTATAACTCCTCCACAAACCCTGTGCACTGCCAGGACGCCGGGCCCCTGGACCAGGACCCAGCCCTCTTACCCCCCAGCGCCTGGTAAAGGCTGCAACATCTATGGCCCCTTGAACTGGCCGTGATGCATACCTGTGGGAATGGTGCTGGCGGCAGGTCGGGGATGGTGGATGTGGAGAAGTGGGTTCCAGTGGGCTGTGGATGCTTCTTGGGGTTGACGTCACCTTCGTCCTTCTCTCTGTAGGAGAATTATAAGCTGCGGGATCAGAATGATGACTTGAATGGGCAGATCTTGAGCCTCAGCCTCTACGAAGCAAAAAACCTCTTTGCCGCCCAGACTAAAGCCCAGTCTCTGGCTGCGGAGATAGACACTGCCTCGCGTGATGAGGTAACCACATCACTGGCTCTTGCTTTGGGGCCTGGCCGCTCCTCTGTAATTCCTTCTCCCAGCCCCCGCCTGCCCAGAGTGAGAAAACCAGGCCAGGGCTTGGCAGAGAGTCCCATCTACAACTCTTCCACATGACAGAGGGCAAAGCCGTGAGCAGGGGAGGGGGCTGCTGGAGAAGGCAAGTCAGCTCTGAGTTCTGCCTGTGCTGGAAGGAGTGCAGGTTTGGTTCAGAGTGCCGTGGGAGTCTTAGGTCTGCCAGAAAAGTGCCAACATAGCCAGCTGAGTGGATCAAGCCGTGACTCTGGGTTAGGCTATCACTCCCACTCTTCCCAACCCAGAGGGAGAGGACATTAGCATTTCTCCAGCACCTGCTGCTTCTGTGATGTGTTTTCACTGAACCTCCTGATGACTCTGAAGCTTTAGGAACAGCTCCACATTCCAAGCTGGGAAGGTGGAACCCAGGACCACCCAGCTAGGGAGGGAGAGGGACCCAGCTCTCTCCAGAGCCAAAGCCTACCCTTCCTGCCACACCAGAGTGTGCTTATGAAAGGCCGGGCCTCCAGAATGCCCTGGCTGCATTTGAACAGGAATTGTAAGACACTGTCACTGAGCCTTACCCTCTGCCTGGGACACGGGGTGATAAACTGACCTCTGTCCTCAAGGAGCTCCCAGGTGAGCTGGGCCCCAGCCCCAGGGCAGAGGCAGCATGTCAGCAATGTCCGAAAGAACACTGTCCTGGAGAAGAGCAGTGTGGGGAGAGGTGTCCAGGCAGGAGACAGCTCCCCTTTGGAGTCTTAGGGGCCCTGGGACTTTGTCAGTCTTGATTTTAAATGACTTTGGCCCATGTTCTCTACTTTTACGAAAGATTACCCACACCTGGGCCCCCTCTACAAACTGATCACATTGTTGGAATCTCTGGGGGTGGGGCCTGGGCACCTGCATAGGTAATACTAGGGGCTGAGCCACTTCGACTCTCGTCCTGGCATCCAAATGCTGAGGCTGTCCTGGGGCCCGCCTCGCCCAGGGTCTCCTGATGCCCTCTGTCGTTAGGCACTGGCCTGCGACAAGCCTGGGAATCTGGACTCTGCCTGCACCCCATCCCAAGCCCAGCCACTGACCTATCTTTCCCATTTCCTTCAGCTAATGGAAGCCCTCAAGGAGCAGGAGGAGATCAACTTCCGGCTGAGGCAGTACATGGACAAGATTATCCTCGCCATCCTGGACCACAACCCTTCCATCCTCGAGATAAAACACTAAGGCACGGGGCTGGCTGCAGAGCAGCCTTAGGACCCTGGAACCAAGGGGCAGACCCTGCCCAAGGATGCAGGCCTAAGCCGGGCCTCACACTCACACTGTAAATGTCTCTCTGGCCACCATGCGTTACGTGTACCTGTGTATATATGTGGGGAGGCTGTGCACACGAGCGAGGGGTGAGTGGCCATGGCTGTGGGCAGCATCCACACGGTTAGCCGTGCATGCACTTTGTGGCCCCTTTGCAAGGGGCGGAGGGTACTGGAAGTGGGAGGGGGCAAGGTCTGCTATCAGGAGTTACTGTAAAAACAAGAACTGGAAGCTCGTGTTTCTGGTACTGGGTAAAATGATTCTACCTCTGGGGATAAGGATCCACATTCGCTCTAGTACGATGGGCTTTCACCCCACTCCTAGTCCCCTGGGCGTGGGAGCAAAATTGTGATCTTTCCTAGGAGTTGGAATGCCCCATATTTGTGTCCTCGCCAGCTCTTTGGCCACCTTTCAAGCCCTGGTGTTCAAGCTCAGAGAGGATGAAGGGGCATCTGGAGGGTCCACGAGATGGGGCCCTCACCAAACGCCTTGGCCGCCGGCCGGCAGCCCTCTGTGATGTGTGTGCAGAGTGAACAGAGGACTCAGGTTTCAGAGGAGCTAGTGCAGGGCACCCTCATCCTGTAGAGTTCATGCACTCCCCGTTCGTGCTACCTACCTCCCCGTTTCTGTTTCGGTTTTAAGACAATGAAGCAGCATTCACTGGGTGTAACATGAAGGAATAAAAACGAAGGAGAAAGAGTTTGGGATGGGATGTCTAAGGCAGGAGTTGACATCAGGCAACCAAAGAAATGAGTTTTGGGGAGGAACACAACTCCCATCCCAGTTTCCTTCCCATGGCTGCATGTTAAGATGGATGCATGGAGAGACCATCTGCCTAGCTTCCTGTCTTCATTCTCCACACAGCCTGGTGATGGCAGGCCTGGGTTTGGATTTCAGAATCTGAGCTCCGGGCTCCACTCATGTGGCAGCAAGACCGCTTTGTTCCAGCGTTTAGAAACACACCTGTATTTGGTTCTCAGTCATGGGAGCACTCGCTGCACTGGTGGGAGGTGGTTGGGAAAGTTGCAGGAAAACCTTAGTCTTCCATCCTTCCGATCCATGGTGGAAATTCACGCCATGGATTTTTAATGGATCTTTTGTTCTAGGCAGCTGGGAATAGACATGGTACTTACCTTAGAGTTTTCCAATTTATCTCAATTTTATATGGCTTGTGATTCATTTTCTTAATCCAAATATATATAAACGTGTGTGGTCTTATTTTTCCTCCTGCAGTTTCTTGTTTTCTTCAGCACATCTTATAGTATGAGAAGGAAGGTTTGGGCATGTTGGGAAGGACAGTGGAAGGGGAGACACAGAAAGAAAGGGCAGTGATGGTGAGGAGAGGGGATCTGGGGACTTGGGTGTGACCCCTGCATGGCAAAGACAGGGCTGTGGCCAGGACCAACCTTCAATTCCATTCTAATCAGCCTTTGCATTTGTTGGATCTTGTGGCTTCTTTTGAATCCTATGTTGGGGATTAGTTTCATGCTGCAAATAATGGGGTTGCATTGGTCTGATCCAAGACTTTGGAGCCACCCACACCGGGAAGACTAGGCTAGGCAGTCGGTCTTCTGGAGTTTCTCAGCCCCTTAGGACGCGGGTCTCCTTGGGCTCCCCCAAGGGTCTGCAAAGAGGCAGTGGAAGAAGGCATGAGGAGAGGGTCTCTTGAGAATTTGCCAATAGGAAGCAATGGCCATGGCTGAAAGGAACAAGACAGATCCTGACATAGCTTTGGCCTGGGTGTTAGGTCGAAGGAGTACTGGTGCGTGGGGGCCTTGCCCCAGGGTTGAGTATTTTCTATGTAAAATGTTATCTACTCTTTGGCTGCACTGGAATTTCAGAGAAGGCTGCAGAGGCCTGGGTTCCACAGCCTGAGTCACAACGGGGGAAGGAATCTGCCATGGGAAAGGCGGGCGGAAGCAGCTGGCAGCCTGGGGTGTGCTTCAGGCTCCTCCCTCTAGGGGGCGCCGTGGGAACAGGCTCCAGGAGGCAGCTGGAGTCCAAAAGGCCCCTGGGACAGCCCCAGAGGGGCCTCTGGAACAGGACTGGCTTTTAAATGGGGGGCTGAATTCCAGCTCACACACACGTCAAGTCCAACCTTACTCTCTTCAGCCAGAATACATTTCTTGTAAAACCTGGCCTGTCTGCTTGGCTTTTAAAGATCACATATGTTTGTAAAAATACTCTTCTGGGCTCAAAAGCTAGCTTGAGGGGACAGATGCCCCAAGGGTCCCAGCTCCACAGCCCCTGGCAGGTCCCAGAGCCCTTGGTGGTAGGGATGGAGCTTGATCTTTGTTTCTGCCCTTACACCTCAGTAGTGGGGCTGCAAGGTAGTAGACAGGATGCCCAGTTAAGTTTGAATTTCAGATAGACAAATAATTTTAGAATGAACATCTGTACTTCAGATAGACAAATAATTTTAGAATGAACATCTGTACTTCAGATAGACAATAATTTTAGAATGAACATCTGTATTTGGGACAGATGTTATTTTTAGAGATAGGATCTTGCTCTGTTGCCCAGGCTGGAGTGTAGTGGTATGGTCATAGCTCACCATAACCTTGAACTCCCAGGCTCAAGTGATCCTCCTGCCTTAACTGCCTCAGTAGCTGGGACTACAGGCATGCACCACCACACCCAGCTAATTTTTCTTATTTTTTGTAGAGACAGGGTCTCACTGTGTTGCCTCACCTGAGCTGCTGGCCTCAAGTGACCCTCCCGCCTCAGCCTCCCAAAGCACTGGGATTACAGGCACGAGCCACCATGCCTGGCCAGGACATATTTGAAATGCGGAGATTTGAAAAATTCTGATGATGAGACAGTCTTCAGACATTCCGGTTTAATTGTTGTGGGTGTGACCCAGGCATGGAATTTTGTAAAGAGCTGCTCAGGTAATTCCAATTTAATTGCGTGTCCTACTTGGGTTTTTTTTGTTTGTTTTTATTGTTTTGCTAAACCTGGCAACCCTACCAAGTAGGGATTAGCAGTAACTTATCTGAAATCTAGAGGTGTTTTTTGGGTGGGGCGAGGGTTTCTATAGTAGACTCAGATTTTACATGGCCCTGAGCTGCCCTGGTGTTCAGTTGGAAGTCACGCAAAATGAACTGAACCAGGAGTGAGCTTTGTATACATTATCTACTAGAAAATGAAGTGCCTCCTGGTTCAGCAAGTCCCTGTGCGGTGAGAGGCTTTAAGAAAGTTCTAGTAAAAATGTTTTTTTTCTTTTAACTTTGAATTGGCCAGAGTTAATCCTAGGTCATTTTATTTTAAACTGGTATATTTCTTTGCGAACTGTCACAGAGAAATTCCTTTTCGTGACTATTTCTGACCTATTTAAAACATGAACAGGCCAGAACAGTGGCTCACGCCTGTAATCCTAGCACTTGGGAGGCAGTGGCAGGCGGATCGCTTGAGCTCAGGAGTCCTAAACCAGCCTGGGCAACACAGTGATACCTTGTCTCTACCAAAAGTTAAAAATGAAAAAGCACAAAGCTCAGGAACCTGCATGAGGGCCTAGAACAGTGGGCTCAGCTTTGGCTGTGTATTGGAATTACCTTGGGAGATTTGTAAGCTTCTGCTGTCTGGGCTGAACCGCCAGAGGTTCGGATTGAATTGGTGGGGGTGTGGTCCAGGCATCCAGATATGTAAAGACCTCCCCAGGTGATGATATGCAGCCCGAGGTTGAGACTTCCCTGTCCTGGAAGGTCATTGGCCAGAGGTAGAAGAAACTGGTCAAAGTGGCTGTTGGGCTTGCCAAGCCCATGGCTGAATGTCAGCGAGCACTCTTGCTGGGAGGGTACCTTTTCCTGTTATGTTGTTGAATGGTCCTGGCCTGCAGGATGGGAGACCAGATGCCTTCAGGAGCTGGTGGATCCAACTATTCTCACCAACCTGGAGGTTAGCAGACCAGAGTGGGCGGGCAGGACCTCGGCCTGGTGCCCCTGGAGTCAGTGGGTGGCATGTGTTGGGATATACTGGCTACAGGCTCATTCCAAAGAGCAGGTAGAACAGAGTCGGCAGGGAACTGACAGGTGAGGCTGTTCCCCTGAAAGCAGCCTCAGAAACAGCTGCCACCTATTTGCGTAGCTGAGCAGGAGGAGATAATTTTTTTGTGGGTTTTGCCTCTGGTCTGTTTCCTGACTGGGTTGATAAGGGAGTTCCAGCTCTTTCCCTGTTAGCCAAACCAGCATCCCACTCACACACTGGACACTCCCGGTGCTAGTCCGCTGGTGCTGGTGTTCAGGAGAGTAGGGGTGGGGGATGCAAGTGCGGGTTCTTGGTTCCAATGAGGGACTTAGCCAGCAGAAGCCTCCAGGGGCCAGCAGGGCCAGGTGAAACTGGGAGAAGTGAAGCCTTCTTTCTATGTCCTGTGTGTGTGGTGGGGTTTACTGCATTAGCAAATTTAAACTTAAAAACGAACTCTAGGCCAGGCACGGTGGCTCGCACCTGTAATCCCAGCACTTTGGGAGGCCAAGGCGAGTGGATTGCCTGAGCTCAGGAGTTCCAGACCAGCCTGGGCAACATGGTGAAACTCTTGTCTTTATTTTTTCAAAAAACAAACACTAACTTTAGATATGATCGTACCAGGAAAGTTTTGCATGGTCACCATGCCAAGAAAATGACTTGGGTTGTCCGGCAGATCCACAGTGACTCTTTTTCAAGGGCTATTGTGGATTCTAGATTGAGGAAAGGGGCCACCTAGGACTCAGTGCTGGTATCCTCCACAGTCCTTTCTCCTAGACTCTGGCCCTCCTGTTGGGACCCAGGGAATCCCCTCTAGGGTGACACTGCTGGCTGGTAAGACGGAGGCCTGCTGCGCCAAGGGACCTCAAGTTAGAAGGGCCGTTCATTCAGTGGATGACTTTGAGCGCTGATCCTAGGCACCCTTCAGGTCCTCACTTCCTGCCCTGAGTGTACACATGAATGGAGCAGCCAGCAGGAAGCAGGAGAGGCTGGAACCAGGAGCCTGCCCTACCTGCATGGCAGGACAACTCCGAGGCCCTTCTGCCATATTCTCTGCTGCCCACCAGAGAAAATAGGCTGCTTTCTAGAAAGATTTGTTTCTAAAAGTGTAGACCCTAGGGAAGTATAATGCCACCATGCTTACCAGGCAAGGTTTCCCATATGGCCTTCCTGCCCTGACCTCGTAGGTTGCTCCTCTCCCCATCTGTAAGGTAGAGATGTCTGCCCCGGAGCCACCAGCTGGGGATGGCATCCAGGCCGTGTCTCCTGCAGGATCCAAGTGCTGTTGTCCCCAGGGTAACCCTGCCTCCTGCTGGGGCCCATCCGCTTTGCTGTGCTGCACAGGCTGTTTTCCTCTGCATGGTTTGCGGTCTTTGTCCTTGTGCCTTTTCTTCCCCATCGCCACTGTACAGGATTTTCCACATTACCCACTGCCTCCTTTTCTACATAGTCTCGTCTCCCTGACCTTTCCCGAGCCCTGTAAATGTGTACGTTTTCCACGTGCCTCCCCCAGGTGAGGCCAACTCTCCCGGGCACATGCATCCACAAGGATCAGGCCCCACCTACCCTTGACTCACTCAGCCTGTAGACTTGGTAACTTTGTACAGAATCTTTCATTATTGTCTTAAACATGGGGGACTAGGACCCACTTAGTCCCTCCTCCAGCCTGCAGCTAGTTTAGGAGCCTTGCATTCCAGAAAAGGGCAACTTTGTGTAAAGCAGCTTCTCCCACAGAGCTTTTCCTGCATTGTTGGCGATGTCCGGCAGAGCATCACTCTTTAACCTGGGGCACTGAGTGGCCCCAGCAGAGATGTCATGGGACTGCAGCCACTCCATGTACCATCTCTGTCCCCAGAGGAAGCCCTGTCCGTGGTTCCAGGCCTGCCTTGAGGCCACCACATCTGTGTCTAGAACAGCTGTGGGCGCCACTCGGGCCGAAGGAAGAGGTGTTAGCTGCTGCCCTTGCCTGCTGTGAATACCCGCCCAGCCCTTCCTTGTCTGCTGAGGTGCTCAGACCAGAGTGCCATTAAATACCGACTGATGTCACGGAGCGGACGGTGCATTGCCGAGGACTCACTCACAGCTGTGGGCCCCCTTCCATCTCCTCCCACTTTCTTGGCTGGGTCTTCTGAGGCCTACGTGGAATGAACTACACATGTGGCCTCATGCCCAAGGGTTTGTTCGATGGCTTCTGACTCTGGGATTCAACTTGATTTTTTTGCCCCAGGAGGCCCTGTCTGGAAACAGGCTTAGCTTTAGGGCTAGGGTGGGACCTGCCCTGTGGGCCCCAGGGAGGGGATAGCGGGGGTGAGGCCCTGAGGCTGTCCAGGGTCCGAGCTCTTTGCCTCCAACCTGCTTCTGCCTCAAAAGGAACAGGCTGTTGGTGGCAGGCTCCTCCCAGGGAGCTGTACTGTACAGACCAAGGTGTAAATAAACAGTTTGCTCTTCTCGCCTGACTGAACCGAGTTTCTTTGGTTGCGGGAGGGTGGGCAGAAGAGGCCTGGTTCCAGGGCTCACAGGGACGGACGGTCGCCCTTAAAAAGAGCAATCCCCTACCCTCACCACGTTTGTGGTTCCCAGGGTGGCTGGTGCTGTCCCCAGGGGCAGCGTGGAGTGGGGGCGGTGTCACTCTGCAGTCCCTAGGGGAGAAGACGTGGATCCCAGAAGCCTCTGTACCACCACCATTCCAGCCACAGGGCTATGATGTTTGGAAACTTCGTCCTCTGGCCATGTTCTTTCCCACTGAGGTCTTCCTAGGGGTTCAGTGGGGTCCCAGTGCCATGCTTCCTCCATGTCCGCCACTGTGGCTCCCCAGGGTGACTGCCCAATGCCTCCACTCAGGACTGGCTTCAGACCTGCCAGTGCTGGTCTCTGCCACACCATCAAGTACCAAGGTGGTCCCCAGTTGAGTCACCCAGACCCCTGGATTTCTGCCCTCTGCCCCTTCCTCTGTTATGGGATTCCAGGCATGGAAGTGGCTTCCCAGTGCAGGCCCTGGTGCCATGAGTCCTCCAGGGAGGGCAGACAGCTCCCCACTCACTGGACTTACACAGCCTCCTGGCTCAGGATCCTGGGAGTGCTGTGTCATCCTGGATCTTTATTGCCTCCTTCCTTTTTTTTTGTTTTTGTTTTTGTTTTAAGATGGAGTCTTGCTCTATTGCCCAGGCTGGAGTGTAGTTGCACAATCTCGGCTCACTGCAACCTCCGCCTCCCGGGTTCAAGCAATTCTCCTGTCTCAGCCTCCTAAGTAGCTGGGATTACAGGCACACAACACCATGCCTGGCTATTTTTTGTATTTTTAGTAGAGACGGGGTTTCACCATGTTGGCCATGCTGGTCTCGAACTCTTGAGCTCAAGTGATCCACCCGCCTTGGCCTCCCAAAGTGCTGGGATGACGGGCGTGAGCCACCGCGCCTGGCCAGTTCCCTCCTTCCTCCTCATATTCCTTCTTTCCTTCCCAACTGGGGCTGCCAGATTTGGCAAGTAAGAATACAGGATGCGTAGTAAAACTTGAGTTTCAGATAAGTAATCCAACGAGCCTCATCTTTACTTGATTACAAATAGGGTCTTTACA